AGTACTGTAAAGTGTATAAAAAAAATTTCTTCGTCAATTGTGTAACGATTTCCAAATATGGGACGGTCTCTCTTGGATTAGGCATCCAAGAACTCTCCAAAACTGACATTTGCTAGAAAAAGATAGAATTTGTCTAAATGTCATCTTGATTTTGTTTTAAATCTGATTCGCATGAAAATTTCAGGACAAATGTACTTAATTATTCTACTTAAGAAGTCAAGGTTGATTCACTTAATAAAAAAAAACTTTTTTCTATTATGCGCATTTTGTATTCATATATGATTGATTTGAATTAAATAATGGAACCATTAATGTATATATATTATTTGTCATAAACACTACCTTCTTGATGACCGACAACCCTAACAAAACTTCGCGTCGTATTATTCTTTGTATTATGTAGTTTTGTCGGGGTTGGTTGGAAGAAAGGGATGCACAGCCAAAATCCAACATCCCGATACTCAAAATCCCGATTTACCAAAATTTCGTCTTCCCAACATCTGACATATCTAAAAGCCCATCCAAAATACGAGAATCTTTTTGTTTGTGTCATTTTTCAAAGTATTCCGAATATTTAATGTGGATAACAATTAATTAGTCATTATATTATAAAGCATGACAGAAAAGTTCGAAATTATATAGTCCGATAATTAGTTTTATTGTTATTATAAAGTCACCCATACAAAGCTGTGAACGAACAAGAGCCCACGATAATAAGCAAATAAATTTGTTGGCCCCGTTCAGAAGTCAAATTATGCCGTCTTTGTTCATCATTAACTATTTAACTATTTATAAATCAGATTGTATAGATTGACGTAGAACTTTTTCGAAAAAAAATTGATGATTTCTTATGTTTTTCAACATGATGCTTTAGGATTTTTGTAAATGACTGACAAGGTTGTACAAAGATCTTTATAAGCATCACAGTGATTGCCTAGCTAATATATTGGAAGCAATAATCTATTGTTAAATTAGCTACGTAAATAGAGAGATACCTGCACATTTTGTTCTCGCTACCACAAGCATATCCTTGGAGAAACTCGATTTACCTTCTATAGCTGGAATCTCTTTAATCCCTATCACCTGTTGTTTATTAGGATCTTAATTTTTGATAATACTACCAACATTCGAGTCTTGCTGTGATTATTGAAATGGATTTAATTTTTGCATCCATAAAAATCTTTAAAAATACTTAATTTCCATTTTGATGACATTTCGTTTCGATACTTCTAACTCTTGTTTTGTGCACGATTCTCCTCATCCTGATGTTCCTTTTTTATATGTTGAATCCAACTGATTAGCCACCCATGGTGAGCCTTGTAGAAAGTAAACTCTCTTTTAGGAAATCGAATAGAATATCAATAAAGTAAAATATGACTTCAAGAGCTTGATGATATCGATAGAAGTATTGATGATTTAATTTATTTAATGTTAATAATCAGGTGCTAGTGTTATATAAGATGATAAGTTGATAGAAATCGTATGATATATATAATGAATAATAAATAATATTCTGTACAATTTTTTACAAGTGTTTGTTCAGTAGAAGCGTGTCTCATCTTAATGCAATCAGCCATTGAGTAAATTACGCCCATCCTCACTATCCTCGCTTCCCACAAAGAATTTTGCCCCGGCCAACTCGCCAACCTGTCTTCCATCACGATGGTTGAGCCATCGTTCCGAGAACTTGTCACCTTGTTGTGCCGCCAATTGGAACCAATGTATTGCTGCTGCGATATTTGTTGGATTATATTTTTGCTTGTCTTTCGTTGGAGAGAAAAGATCAAAGTTATGGGTTGAAAATGGCGAGGAAGTGAGAACAGGGGTTGAGGTTGATAATGCACTAAAACTGCCAAATATTGTCGAATGAAGCGTGCTACTGTTGCCATGTATCTGGTGACGCAATGATAGTTTTCCATTGCTTGAATTTGTGGGATAGTAAAGTGGCGGCGGTGGTGATGAAGAACGAGGAAGAGTTGGCAAAGAAAGATAGAGAATAGCGAGCTCGCGTTGTGCAAGAGGATTAGATTCTTTGGCTCCTAAAAGAAGATAAATTAATAATTAACATACGAATGAAGAAATAAAATCACAAGATATTAGATTTGTTGATAACTTACCAATAGTAAAAAGACGAACAGCTTCCATTTGTGTTTTCGTTTCCGAATCATCATCTTCGAAGAAACTTTCTTCAAACAATTCATCATTTTCTTTCTCTGCTTCCATCCGCATGAGAGCATCACGCTGGGTAATACCTCCATCCATAACCTTAATTCCACGTTCAACAACTTTTTCCGTTACTTCTTTCTTTAGACTAGAAACCGCTAAGCTCATATCCCAGAAAGCTTTCCCTTCATCACGAAGATCAAGGATCACTCCAGGCACAAAAGTAGCAATTAATTGCATATCACGAAACAAATGTCTTGGACGAATACTGGATTGACGAAATAATCTTTCAAGCTCATTAACTATTGAATCTGTTCCAGGTGTCATGGCTTGAGTGGAAGGAACGGCAGTAAGTAAGGGTGAAGCAATAAGCGCGGGCGATAAAGGAGCCGAAGTAGGTGTTGATAGAGCTGATGATAAGTGAGGCAAAGGGGGTGCGAATGATAAGGAGGCGACAACTAACATTTCGATGGCAAACAACGCGTGAAGTTTTTGATAGGGAGAAGATAAAAGCGTAAATTCCTCCATCAAAGATTGACAACATTTAATAAAAGGATATTCAGCAATGGGTTGAAAAGTTTGAGAATTCATTTCATTCTTAATGTTAGGAATTCTTTCATTATTCATTAATTTCGGTGGAATAAAAGGTGAATTTTCGAGTGCATCCGCTAATTGCGTCTCTGTAGATTCAGTCTCAGTTATTGAGACTGCTGAGACTATTGGAACATCTGGTGTATCTGGAATGTTAATTGGCATTGATAAATCAAGCTTTGTAGTCAATGTTTCTAAATTTTTAGATGGAAGTTTCGGAATATCAATGCCTTTTCCTCCTAAAACATCATCATCTTCACCGTTAACCGATATTCCTTCTTTTATTGGCCCAACAACAACTTCCTTTGGTATACCAATATCACCAATAAACTCTTCGAACCATTCATCTGTCTCACAACCACCATACCAAGCTTTCCCAAATTCACTTAGTAAAAGTCCGGTCAGTTTCAATTGTGTTTGTAAAGTGAATTCATCCATAGCCGAGGAGCTTCCAAAATTTCTCTTACTAATTAGAAAAGATGGTGGTAAATTCATAGGTGGTGTATAAAGCTCATAAGAAGGTAATAATCCATCAATTAATTGTTCTCTTAATCCTCGATTCTGTTGATGGGCTGTAGCATCAATAGCTTGGCCTTCGATTACATTATACAAATTGGCCGGATACATTCCAAGATTACTACTACTGCCACGTCTAGGTATACCACCACCCAATAAAGTACCCAAGCCACTGGACACTGTTGGTCCACTTCCAATTGCTGAAGCACTTCCACGTCTCTCTCGTCTGGGTAGATTTAAGTTAAAAACATCTACAAGGCTATTCTGTCGTCGTATTGTTTCCCCACCGGGATATGTGTGTTGATGATGACTAGGCAGATTATTGTTAAAAAGCTGATAATGCAGTCCACTGTATCTTTTATTCTTTTCTCTTTCCTCTCTATTGATAAAGTATCCCATCTTGAAAACCATTGCCTCCTTTCGAAATAAATCACTAGTCCATAACATTGTCTGCATTACATTAGCGCGAATCGCATTGATTTCTATGCAATAACGATGAAACCGTTCTTCACAAGGAATGAAGTTATACACACCAGTCTCATGCAACCATCGCGCTACGACTTCTGAATCGTGTTCGGATAATGGCGGTGGCCATTCTTCGAAAGATTTTGAGGTTGACTTATGTTTATTATTAGCACTCCCAGAAGAGTTCGACTTTTTCATGCATCTTGAAAGTTTGTTTGATGGTAATGAAATTTCATTCAAGATTATTTTTGATTTTTCCAGAATTTTCGAGGTTCGAATTTCCGAGGTGTACCACATCCGCAACCTCAACGAGGATAGCATATCACGTTTTTGAGATAAACATTGAACTAATCGTATATGAACTTCATGCGCATATACAGCCCAATGTCGTCGTTTTTGATATCGCATATGCCGACGATGCTGAGCACGCCGTAAAGGGGTGGCCAAAAGTGCAATAAGACCCGCTGCATTATTGTGGGTAAGATGAAGTGGTTGATGCAATAGTAAAGTAAGCGCTTGATGGTATGAAAGTGCTGCAGCATAATCTTTATGTGATTGTGCCGTTTGAATTGCTTTAGAAAGAAGCGATGAAATTGTAATAGTAGTCGGTGAATCTCCATGAATCTTTCTCGCAAAATTAAATGATTTGTTTGATTTGGTCTTTGGTGACGTGGATAATTCTTCTGCGTTTTGTTTTGATTCATTTGCTACGCTTGAATCTACATTACGATTTACATTGTCAAATGCACCAACAAAATCATATTCTCTAAGAATGCGGAATAAAGCTCGCCCTATTGTTCTTACTTCTTCGGTCAGTAATTCATTCAATTCGTCACCATCATCCAATTGCATATCCAATTCTAGATCAGAAAGCTCACCACTACTTCCATATGAGCCTAAATGGCCCCGAACGATAGGTGTGGTCACTGTCAATTGATTACTCTGGGATGTGTCTATTGCCAATGCAGGATCCGACAATAAAATTTCAGAACCATCACGTGAAACATACAACAAAGCCCATGGTTCGGCAGAAGGAAGTGCGTTAGGCTTATGTCCAGAATGCCGAGTAATTTCATCAATAGCATTTTTCATATCTTCATAAATTTGCGGTATAGGTTCAGTGTCATCAATTAAACTCGAAGCTCGGGAATGGTTGCTACGATGTATGGGACTATGATGTTGTTCTGTGTTAATATTCAAAACACCAGGTGATGCCGTCATCTGCGCATCAATAATACACGAAGATTCACCACTTGAGTTAGAAGATACTGAACTCGAGTCACTGTGTGTTGGAAAAAAGAGAGAAATTTTTTCATCCAATGCCATACTTAATGTTGAAGAGGGACGAGGTGAATTTGTACGTGATTGATATGCACTTCCAGTATTCCATTTAGAGATTTTCGGCGACATGTTTGGTCTTGATACACGCTGCTGAGGACGATATCGTGGACATAAGAAGTAAAATAATGTCGTAAGATCAGATGGACACAGCAATAAATTCGGGGTAATTGTGGAGGGATATTGTGACATAGAAGGGTAAGGAGTTCCAGCTGCTGATTTTAAAGCAGGGGTTGCCATCTGTGGTACTATTTATTATTAGATTATTGAATTGCTATTTCTATTGAATCAAGTAATACTATGTTTAAAATGCAGAAATTTTCAAAAACTCACCTGATGAAAATGTTTCATTTATTTCCGGATAATTTGTATCATCGGAAAATCTCGCGACTATTTTTTCCACTAGTTTTTTTATTTTTCCATCGATTTGGATTTCCTTACGTGCCCTTTATTAATAAATATATACGAGTTAATTAGAGAATTGGATTCGATAATAAGTCCGTTGGATTTTAACCTACCATTCGGGAACAGCATCCGTGATTCCAGTGATATAACGATACAGTCTTTGTTGTATCATGAATAGAATATGTTTTCGTTGAGTCTCCGAGATATAATATTCTTCAAACATTCCGTAATGCTAATTAGAATCATGTATTCTGGTTAATAAAACATAAACCATTCAGATTAAAGGAAAAAAGAATTAAATGCAACTCAAAATTAACCTCTGGATAAGTAATAGCCCGTCCAATAAAACGATGAAAGAACCACTGCACTATTAAAAATACACTGGCATGATGGCGTGACTCCTCCGGAACTTGATTCAATATAGATCTAGATAAAATCAAGACACGTGCCGGAATTACGTCTTCACGATCTAGAACTTGAAGTAGTCCTATACACGCATTATCAAGATATTTTTCAATGTCCAAATTTTGATCTTCTAATGAATATGTCTTTCCGTGATCTTTTTGTGAGGATGATTCAGCTTGTTCAAAGGTTGATACCATTGGACTAGAAATCTGAGAAGTAGCATTGTTCGATGATGTATTTCCATTGTTGTTATTACCAAGTATCCCAAAGAATGGTAATGAGAATGCCGTATAAGATTCATCCTTGGGAATCTGTTCGTTTGTTACAGTTTCAAGTAAAAGATCACCCTGTTGCAATATCTTCATTAGTTGCATCTCAAATGCTCGCTTTGCAGTCCAAGGTGATAGATGCACATATCTATCCAATACATCCAATAAAAACTTTTCACCTTTCTTATCTGCAATGAGTTTCACAAAAATCGCAGTCCACAGATTTAATCGTAATCGATCCTCTTGTGGAAAGGTAGATGGCCCAAAGATTCCCTTAAGCAAGATATCAATTATATCTAATTGATTAATCTGAGGGATATTGTGTCGACTATTATTATTACTACTGCTACTATTATTATTGTTATTATTCGACGATGTAAATCTTTCGGTGATTGATAAATTGTCCAGATCCTGAGGCGACAATTGTTGAAATGCACTGGCTACAATTCCTGGATTCTGCCTTACAAATGAAACAAATTCCAGCACTGTCTTGCTACCCTTAAAACTTATGTAATCCAAAAAACTCGATTTTGATTGCGGTGCGGCAAGCGCGTATTCAAGAATCGCATCTTGACTATCTTGCAAATAATTATATGCAGCAGCGAATTCTGCACGTTGTTCATTTTTAAATAGATCATGTAAATGCGCGTAAGATGCATTCATTGACTGATAGACTCGCGTGGCTAAAGCAATACCAAGTAAATGTGTGTGCAGCTGCAACGATTCACGATAATCGTCTTGTCTTGAGAATCTATCCAATAATAGTAAATAGCGAAGCCCATAAATATCAAGCGGTGCATGGGTATTAATCAGATATGATTCATCCAGATCATCTAAAGATGACGGCGCGGCAGGATGATACAAGGAAGCGAAAAATCTACCCCCACCGCCAAAGTCATTTGATACTTTACCGCTATTTAAACTACGTTCAAAGCATCGATTACATGCGAAACACCTACATGAACAATAGTAATTCCCCCCTACGCCGCTAGGATCATCAGGTTCAGGGTTCGAGGGAGAAAGTGGAGCGGCCATAAAATTGAAGATTTTATCAATACCGAGATTAAACGCTTTTTTTGCTTTGGGTTTGTTACTATTGATCTTCGTCGATGGGAGAGTTGTTGATGCTGTTGCGGATGATATTTTTGTGGGAATATTTGATGTGGTGGACAAAGTTTGTGATAATAATGAAGCTTGCGCTGCGTTTGCGGCCGCTGCTTCTTGTTGCTGTGGTTGCTGCATTCAGAGCAACGTGCCTCAATTTAATAATGGCAATCAAGTCAACTTTTTCGGAAGGTGATAAATCGAGACTAACGCTAATTAAAAAAGAATAGCCTTCAAATCAGGAAGCTTAACAACGTACAGATCGACGTATCTTCTATAAACGTGTTGAAAAGAAACCTAATCAATAATCAGTTGGCGAATAATCATTCACTGATAATAATAATAATCGTTTCCCTGCAGCGTGCGTACTTGTTTCAAAAAATCCAAACTTTTCCTCGTGAAGTTAACAATAGAATAATGGACGTATAGATTTGATAATATCGGCTTTAAAGGGAAAAAACGTGGTGTATATGAAAAGTTTAAAATGCGGTCATAGATAGGGGTGAAAAAGGGGGCCAGTTATAAACTTGAATAGGGCGTTATTATCTCCGTTATCTACTATATAAAGACACTCAAAACGTTGATGAGAAATGCTTTACCAATGAACGACCCAAAGTCTTGTATATTATTTATTTATGCGTAAATGTCAGAGTGGTTACGATTTATTCGTCCCTTACATAAAATAACTCGTAAAAAACTTGCGTATAATGCGTAATCGATTTTCTAACTTTTATTTTTTTCTCATACTGCAACACAATAAAATTAAAAGTGGTTTTTACTTTAACTTTATAGAAACAGATCAAAAGCACGCGAGCACACGAAGCAGCAGGTACACACGTACAATTATTGAGTGACAGGCGAAAAAAATATCACTATCATGCAAGTAAATGTGATGGAAAACAATTACTGTAAAGCAAAGAAAAAAAAAAAGGAAGGGTCCCGTCTCAACTTTCCTATTTCAGCATGAATGCATTATTAACTAATAAACATTAAGTCATGCAACTTGCATTTATAGGACACCAAATTCAGGTGGTCTCAATGGTTCGGGCGTCTATACTTGCTGCGTCTATATGTACAATGAATTGATCCGAAAGATAATTTAAGAAATAATACACAATAAAAATAACAATAAAATTGTAAGCGCCACTCGTTTTTCTTTGTTATTTTTGATATTTCGATAATAACAAACAAATAGCAGAATATTTAGATTTAAGCGAATGCCGCTCATATTAACATTTTTGAAATGTGAGCAAAAATTCGCAAGTACAATGCAAACATTCCAAATCGAAAAGCAATGCAAAAATAAAGTTTATTGCGGTTAATGAAGAATGATGCATTTCGGCTTTTTTTCATTTTTTTTTGCTATAGAAAAAAATATTGGTAACTAAACAAACCTTACCGCATTTTCACTTTTTTTATTGTGCTATCTTCTTTACTCTCTTGTTGGTTGTTGCTACTACTGCTGCTGTTATTATTGTTGTTGTTGTTGTCATAGGTGGCAGAATCGGATGTTTCATCTGGTCGAGAAAGTCTCCTTTTGCCATTCATTGCTGCATCTTCATTCTGTGCCGCGTCATCGATTTTTGTCCAATTATCTTCTGTGTCACCATTTGGTCTTCTTTGAAATTCTTCTGAATTCGGTGGCCACTCATCTTCAATTTTTGGACGTGTCCAGGAAGAAGAAGAGAACTCGATTATCGGTGTCTCTGCCATAAATTCCTGAATTCCATCTGTTTGAATGGCTATAGACACAGATTTCGAAGTTCGCTTCCCTATAAAATAACAATGCTAATTAGAATCGTTGCGCAATTCGCATAGTGAACCAGAGGTAGTACAATTTACCATCAATAGCTATTTTATCTGTATTAATGTTATTTTGTTCTTCGGTGACTTCTTGGATCCATTTATCCCACGATTTTATTACAATTTCTCCCATCGCTTCCGTGACTCCTTTACTCTTGCCTTTCTGATACTTTGATCCACCTTCGATAAATTTTGAGAAAAGTTTCGATTCATTCAAAACACCCTCAACTAACTTGCCGCGTTTTTTATCATCTTTTAATGTTAGCCAACAATTTGAATCATCAATCCAAGAGAAAAATATGTTGCCATATTCCTCGAAGATAGTATATAAAGCTTGTTGATTCGTCATTGGCGGGATATTAGAGAGCAAGAAGGAATTTGGCCTTGCTGGTGGCACTTTGAGGTGATCATTAAAGATGAGTTCGAATGACAACGCCAAATTTCATAATCATCTCAAATATTAAAATTTACTTACACCCATCATTTCCCACCAAATTTAAATATTTAAAATCTGATCTTAGCAAATGTAGCTTATTATAGAATTTGGTGAGTTTTTCTGAAGTCAAATATAATTTTCGAAAATCAATTTCAACATTCTCTGTTGAAATTTCATTTTTATCCTCTTCTGTTTCTGGTTGCGGAACATCAAGATCTTCAAAGAAAGAAGCGTACGCGTCGACCTTAATCTCTAAAGACAAACATCAAACTTATGTGAATATTTTTAATTAGGAAAAAGTGCTTTATCTAAAATATATATACCTTTCTCATGTAATATGAATGCAGCCAAGGACAGGAAGTTGCATCCGGTAACGTAGGCGTCATAGCCGGCCTCATGATTCAAGGTTTCATCATTAAAAGTGTATCTGTTGAATTTTGGATCCAATCCTTTACATCGGACATAGATAATAATAGATAAGAAATAAACATTGAGAGATAAAATTAGTCTAATCGAGTAAAATACGTACCAACTTTTGGCGCGTATTCGATAAATGGAAGTTTCTGAGTTGCTTCCACAATATCTTGCACCCCATTTTTTGGCAGGATTTTCTATCGAGAATTTAAGATGCGTAGAACGATATTAGGAGAATCAATCATAAAAATTTTGAAGATTAAGATAATGGATTGTGTTCTTTACCTGCAACTGCAGATGGGTACTTGCCAGGTGTTTGGTGTCGATAACACTTCAATAACAAGAGGATATATTAATAATCGATTTGTTTGTTTTACTGAATATTTGATACACTTACATATCAAACATCCCACGCACTAATTTTTTCCATTCATTAACTCTCTCTGGAATTTCTTCCCAGAATTGATGAAGGAATTGGCAAAAATCAAGAAAACAGTTGTGACCAATGACAGGTTTCTTGGCTTCTACCATCTTTTCGATAATCACTCGAAAATTCACAAGCAATTCAGCGGTCTAACAGAAATAAATAATAATTAAACAAGAATTCATTATATGCATTCATGCAAGAATAAAATAATCACATCTACCTCCTCGGAGTCAGCATCTAATTTCTTCTGTCGCTCTTCCTCTGTTAAGCGCTTGAGTATCATAGCTTTTGGCCGACTATCGCCTTCTATAAGACCATTATATCTATTTCAAAAATATTAAACATCCTAACATTTAACCATACGCATTATTGAGAATGACGAATCTTCATATCATACTTTTCTCTGATCTCCTGAAAAACCAAACGTTTTTGACGAATACTTGGCGTTTCCACCACCAATTCTTCCGTTTGTGTGTTTTGAAACCACGCTTCTATTTGTTTCCTTTTAAATGCGGAAAAAAATGATGCGTGAGATTGTGATGGTTTAAACTATCAACAAACAATCAAACACTATGCGCAGTGGTTAACCAATTATGTACATCATGCACACGATGTTTTATTAGCATTATGATCAACAAAAATGCAAGATACTTGCATCAATTTTTCTACGTGCCCCTTGGTTTCCTCATCCGGTGGATTTTCTTAAGATTGATTAATTGAATTAATAGAACCACACGTATTAATATGGTATTAAGCGAAAAGCACTGTCATAAATAATTACCAATCTGGCGTTGTGCAAAATTCTCTCTACGCATATTCAGTTTAGCTTCATCTGTCCGATTAATCCATGGTATACCTGATGAAAAGATGAAAATCCATGTCACGATTTATTCTATATCATAAGCGAAACACACCAACCACCATTTATATAGGATGATAATGGCAACTTCATGCTGACCTTTTCCGATCAACTTGTTAAAATCAAAGCCACATTTTGAAAGAAATTGAAGACTTGATCCACTAGACAGAAAACACACATCACTTATGTCTCTTCTATCTGAGCTCGCTGGGAAAATATAAAAATTGAACGGTCGTGCAATAAAAACATTTTCTGATTCCGAGTATGTAAATGTGCATAAACCGAACTGTACTATAAGAAACTAGATAAAATGCAAAAAACAAAAGGTCAAAAACACGTTTTTACTAAAGAACAATATGCAAGTTTACTAATGTATTTAATACAAATTGTTCTTATTATCTATGTACTTACCTTTGTTGCTGCCGCTCGAACTTTACTATATCTTAATTGTGGGTCGTCAAAACTTTTTATCCTTTCTACACGTTCATGCAAGCCTAAATTAAATAAGGCGTGAGACGCGTTGAAAGAAATCGACTTGCTTGCCAAAAAAAAACAAAGAAATTAAAGGCTACTGTTGCAAATATTACCAGTAAGTTCCGTATCGATAGCTAGAAAGTCGGCTCCACGAATTGCTTCTTCGATGGTTGGCAATAATTCTTGGAAATTATCTTTAAGAACTTCCATTTGGATAGAGCGTATGTCTATTTCGAAATTTTGTATTTATATGTTCAATCAACTACCAATAGAATGGCTTACCCAAAATATAATTTATCAAAAAACGTGTGCACATGCAATCGTGTAACCATTGATTCTCGCTCATATATTAGAATTCCGACAAAATCAAAACATCATATTTCAAAAACCTTGGAGAAAGTCGACTTTTTATCCTTGGATAAGGAACGTCGACTTTATTGTTTTTCAACGAAAGGTTTCAACGTTTGTTTGGCTTATTTTCCGGTAAACATTTGCTTCTCTTACTGTTGAAACATGGCCAGAGGAAAACAAAAGGTTTGGTTTTTTTTTTAATAGAAAACTCGGGGTGAATATTGAACAAAGAATTAACAAACCTTTTGCTATTCCTTTCATTAAAACTCTTCCTGTGAGTAGGAACAAGCTCGGTAAGTATTTTCAAATGCATAAAATCCCACAATAGTATCAACTTAGATTATTAACTCTCATATTCACTTTTTTTTTTTGATAATACAGGGAGAAAGCTCAAAAACAAGCTGAAGCTAGAGCGGGTGGCAAGTCACAACTTAATGCTCGTGCTGCTGGGTTACAATTTAAATGCCCCATTTGTAAGGTATTTAAGGGGTTAGCTGTAGTAATAATAGATTTTTTGATATTCATGAGAATCCTTTTTTTTCAGAGTCCTGCGGCCAACTATAAAGTTGTGGTTCAACATATGGAGGTATATTGCTATGATTCATTCATCCTTATGATTCATGTGCTTTTATAATTGATGCGATTTTGATAAATTGTTAGGCTAAACATCCAAAAGACGCTGTTCCAAGTGAGGAATCTTTTCAAGCGTAAAACGGTACGGTAATATTAGAATGCACAAATACAAATATATAGAATCTTCTGGGGGAGAAGTATGCTAATTATTCTTTGGTGTATTGTTTAGTTTGTTATTCTTTATTTGTTCAAGTAATTATATGGCTAAACCAAGCACGATAATAAAGAAGGATGTGCAAAGGTTTTATTTAATTTTTATACTTTGGTGATCTATCCGCTTTATATAGTATATATATTTTGTACACACAAAGATATTGATAAATTTTTTGGAGAATTAATAATTGGTACGACCAAAGGTTAAGAGTGCATGTAATTGAAATTAGATGAGTATTGTAACTAATGATATCAGGTAGGAACTCTTTTATTATTATTCTTTCTTGAAATTAAATTCGAGTTATGCAAATTCATAAATTAATTAAACTATAAAAAAATTATGCATACGAAATTATTAATTAATCGATATTTTCTTTTTTTCAAAAATGATCACGCTTTCGCTTCATCCCTATTGTACCCATTTTCATCATAATAACGCCGCAGTAGAACCAACAATGCTATTTTTCATTTCACCTAGGAGATCAACTAATCCTAAACACCCAAAATGTATCTCGCCTGCGATCAAACGACTTTCATTCACGACTGCCTTTTGTAGGGATAATTCGATATACGCGTACATGGAGCATTGAGTTCACTGACTTCTATAGGAATCTGATCATGGAATATTTCCCTGCATGATATTGTGTTAAAATAACTTATTTTGGTAAAAGATATACGTTAACTATTTACACAATCTTTTTAGTTTAACTGTAGCGCAAAAGATCAAATATTACTAACATATGACCTCTATCAATTTATAATTCATTTTGTGAATACTGTAAAACAATTTACGCCAGGATTCAAAATATTTGTGAAATGTGAATATTGATTTTCTTTCGAATATTCGTTTTTATGAAAAGAAATTAGTCGGAATAACGATAACTATAATTAGTAAACTTCATTGTTATCGTTATTGCTTAAATACAGACTTTGTTCTGTTTTTGACACAATAAAGAATGATATGATGACACAAAAGAAAACTCCGTGTTTTCTGATACACCATACCACATTCGTGGCTAATTTATATACGCTTGACTTTGAAAACTTCTTTTTCTGGCAAAAATTTTTTCTTTATTAATTAAACAACAAGACAGAATGACAAAATTTAAAAGGAATTTATCAATACTGTTATTATTAAATTTTCTTTCATTAATCAATGCTCAATACTATTCATCGAGGTAAATATATCTATCGATTGTTCAGTTCATTATCACTTTTTTTAATCGTAAAATAATAATAAAAAACATCGTTGGTGTTGCTGTCAGTGTAAAACCCACTCGGACAACCACAATACAAGTGACTATAACTGAGTCACCTTCCAGTAACAGTGGCTCTGGATCAGGAGCACCAAAAAAAATAATAGTTCCTGTAATTGTGGGTGTTGTTGTAGTTGTTGCTGCAGCTATAGCATTCTGGCGCATTTATAAGTCACATAAGGAGAGTACGGCTGCTACTATAGCAACTGGAAATCAGCAAGGAGGAAATGCTGCTACCACTACTCCAGTAATGACAAATAATAATCACGTCGGAGCTTATCCACCAAATTCAAATCCTAGTCCTAATTATGGCGGTGGTGGAGGCTACATGCCAGCACCGGGTACACCCGAATCATATTCAACTTCAACAAATCTAACCGGAAATCCACCACCACAATATCAGATATCACCAAATCAAGGATATCAAAATATCGAACAATATAAACCGCCACTTACTCCACAGGGAGCTTATCCTCCATCTACACTCCCCCAACAACCGCAGGGCGGTTATCCAATACCACAGGGTGATTATTCACCATATACATTACCCCAACAATATCAACCACCACCGCACTCACAAGTACCACAACAATTTCAAGGAGGAATGCCTTATCCTCCATTTCAAAAATGATATCTTTAAGGTTTTCCTATCGAGCGGATCAGTTTTTCTATTAATCATAAATTTTTTTGATAATAGAAATTATTGTGCATACTATAATGTAATTTTTACCTTATCCATCATATCGTAACGCAACGGCTCCAATGCCTATATATTTTAAAAACATTCGATAAAAACATGCTATCTAAAAATAGATACAGTGTCAACCCTTATAGAACTAGTTTATAAAATGTGCAATTGGGGAGGGTGGTGTGCATATGACTCCATATTCTTTAATAAATGCATTCTAATAACTCCTGCTCGCAATGCATATTGGCGAAAGAGAATTTCTTCTCAATTACGCGTAGCCTCAGCAAATGTAAAATAAACTAAAGATTACAAATTACACGAATTTTTGTAAAAATCGAATTTTCAAGGTTACTATAGAAGAATAATAAAGATTTTTAGTCTCTAAACAAAACTTGATGAGAAAGAGGCGAACGAAAATTACAACGTTGATAAACTTTTTTCCAATGGCCAACCAAGAAACGTAGCACATCAAAATGAATTGCAACACGGGAAACAGAATCTTAAGGTTTGCACGACGATTTTTGTATTTCGTGTGGCAGACTTTTAATAAGTGTGGAAAGTTTATCGCGGCAATTGGTAAAACGAGGTGCAAACTTCTAAGTTTGTTATACCGAAAATTGCCGCTTACACTGTTTTTAACTAGGAAAAAAAAAATTACTGCTTACATTTGTTAAATAACGATAAACTTAATAACCAAAAAAATTGAAAAGGTTAATTAATATGTATGGAGGTAATAGCAACTAATACTCGAATTAACCAATAATCGCAACCCATTGTTTTCAAAGAACAGAATTTTGCAAAATAAAAATAATAGATTTTTACTTTTACTTTGTGGCTGATTTGAAGAATTGAGCATAATTTGGGTGATGAATTTTAAAATTGACCTTCAGTAACAACGCCCATAATAATTCGAACCCGGAAGCTGTCACCGATTCATTTTTCACCAATGCAAACAATGTGGTTTATAAATAAATCCGAAAAATTTTATTCCATTGAAAAAATTCACCCCGAAGAAAGTTAAAATTGCTCGATTTTTAAAACGACGTGGCAGTGCTACAGGTTCGATAGCAACGAAAGTTTCCAAAAACAATAATAAGAGGTTACCAAAAATTAAAAACAGATTACGACTGCATTATTCCACGCGTATTGTTCTCCCAAATTTAACGCGAGTAAAGTAAATTGTGATAACAATGATAATTCCAGTCCCCACCAATCTATTATTTTTGATTTTTTCTTTTTAGCACTGGAAGATGATAAACGAAAACTGCTATAGCTGTCTCCACGTGGCATGACCTGAATGCCCAAAAAAGTTTGAGCTGGAATTATATAACATTATAAATGCAAAGAATGTTTTTTTGTTAGAAATAGAAAATGTTCCGAGAATAATCATGTAATATGCCCTTGATTCCAGCCCATGCCTCGATTTAAGTCCGAATATTTTGTATTTTTTGTTATAAAGTGTTCTGGAATATATCTACCGCTATTGGTCAAAGGTGGACAGAGGTGATAAATGATTGGGTAGTTTAACTTTCACGTGATTTGATCCCTAATATATTTAAAATTTTTTATATATAATAAATATAAATATAATAAAATCTAAATAAAATAAATTTGTATTTATAATTTCTTAAAATTTTATTTAATATAATTTTTTATTTAGATATAATAAAAATTTAATTACATTTAAAAATTAAAATTAAAAATAAAATTATTTTATTTTATTTAAGTTTATTATTTAATTAATATTTTAAAAAAGTTTAATTTAAATTCAAATTTAATATGAATTTAAACTTATATTTTAAATTTAAAATTTGAACTAAAATCTAAAAAATACTTTTTAAATTCTTCAAATTATAAATATTTATTAAATTTTATAAATTTTAGTAAATAGCATAATATTAAAACTAAAATATTAATTAATTATTAATATATATTTTATTTTAATATTATAAATTTTTAAATTTTAATAATATAATAAATTTATTAAATATTAAAATATTAATTAATTATTAATAATAATATTAATAATAATTAAAAAAAGTAAATATAATTAAGTTATTATTCAAAAATATAACTTTTAATTAAATTTAAAATTTAAATTTGATTTAAGTTTAATTATAAATATTAATAATAAAATTATAATTCTTAATAAGAATTATAATTTTAATTATAAGTATAAAATATATTTATTATTTAAAATTTTAATTATTATTGAATAAAACTTTTATTTAAATAATTAATAAATTTATAACTCTAATTAAGAACTTATAATTTATTTAAAATATATTTATTATTATAATAAAATTTATTATTAATTTATAAATTATACTATATTATCTTACTATATTATATATAATTTATTATACTATAATTATCTAATTTTATTAAGAAAAATTACATAATTCTTTAAGTTATTTTTACTTTAAAGAATAATTCTTTATAAATTTTTTTATATTTTATTTTATAAAAATAATTAAACATATTATTTTTTTTATATTTTTTATTTATAATTTTATTTATCTACCTATAAGCATCTTCTAAAAATACTATTATTTTAAGTAATATATATTAATAATTATTTATTTTTTATATAATTTTAATTTATTTATTTAAAAATACTATTTTTATTCTATAATTTTAATAATAATAATTATTATAATAATAAAGTTTTAAGTTTTTATAATAAACTCTTATTTATTCTTACCTTTTTTATATAAATTTTAAATCAATACTTTGTTAATATCTTAAACTTTTATATAAATTTTTTAATATTTTATAATATATAATAAGAAAATTATAACTTTGATAATAAAAAAGACTAATACTATATATATATATATATACTTACTGAATAAAAGTTTAAAATCAGAAGTAATTAATATAAATAAAGAAATAAGTTATATTATTATTTATGTAATATATAAATATTTAATTTTAATATTCAATAACTTTTTAAAAAGCTAATATCTTAAGTTTTAAAATAATATAAAAAAATAAATCAAACTTAATCAATATTTACAGAAAATTATCAACTTATGAATTTTGAGTATAATAAGATAGTTAGTACTTAAAAGTGTGATTTTTCTAAATAAAAAATAAAAGAAACTTTAGAATAATTCAAATCTATAGTTTATAACATTATATAAAAATATAAAGAGTTTAGCTAAGTTATAATTTTTATTCAAAATGATAAATTACCAATATTAAATAATAAAGATATTCAAAGAATAATTAATATTATAAAAGATAATTAGTTGATAAAATTACTGAAAAATTCAGAAAATTTTAGTTAGTTCTAAAATTATATGTCATAATCTTCTGTAAAATTATTTTGTTAATAATTATAAATAAGATAAAATATAATATAAATAGTTTTTAATTTTATAATTTATAATTATTTTTATTATTTAAAAGTATTCAGATTTAAAATTAATTTATAGAATAGAAAGATCTTATTTATAAAAAATAAAATAAATACAAAATATAAATAAATTAATAATAATCTATAATTAAAATATATAT